ATTGTGAGGGATGTGCCCTCATCTTCAGCATTTATCTTTCCAATCTGGGATGGAGAATCTTTTCTGGTTAGAAGTTTTCATGTTTTATCTCCATTCCACACCTAGTTCTCCAATATTTTCCCACTGCTTTGTCCTTCAGTTTTTCTTACCATGAAATATGGCGGCAAAAAAAGCCAATGGGATTTTGGCCTGCATCAATAGGAGCATAGTGTCTAGGTCCAGGGAAGTCATGCTACCCCTCTATTCTGCTTTGGTTAGACCACACCTGGAATATTGTGTCCAATTCTGGGCACCAAAATTCAAGAGAGATATTGACAAGCTGGAATGTGTCCAGAGGAGGGCGACTAAAATGATCAAGGTCTGGAGAACAAGCCCTATGAGGAGCAGCTTAAGGAGCTGGGCATGTTTAGCCTGAAGAAGAGAAGCTGAGAGGAGATATGATAGCCATGTATAAATATGTGAGAGGAAGCCACAGGGAGGAGGGAGCAGATGGAGAAAGAGAGGGAGAGAGCTAGGGGGGGGGAGGGAGGGGGGGGGGGGGGGGGGAGGGGGGGGGGGGGGGGGGGGGGGGGGGGGGGTGTTTTCCTGCTTCCCTGGAGACTAGGACGCGGAACAATGGCTTCAAACGACAAGAGAGGAGATTCCATCTGAACATGAGGAAGAACTTCCTGACTGTGAGAGCCATTCAGCAGTGGAACTCTCTGCCCCGGAGTGTGGTGGAGGCTCCTTCTTTGGAAGCTTTTAAACAGAGGCTGGATGGCCATCTGTCGGGTGATTTGAATGCAATATTCCTGCTTCTTGGCAGAGGGTTGGACTGGATGGCCCATGAGGTCTCTTCCAACTCTTTGATTCTATTCTATGATTCTATGTGGCAATGGAGAAAATTGGGGGGGGGGGGTCTTCATTGCTCTGGGAACACCCTTTTCTCTATTTCCTTTAAGGAAAGATGGCAGAAATTGTAGCATTTAGACATTATAACATAAGCAGTATAGTACTGCACATAATCTAAAACAGGGATCTAAAACAGGGATGGCAACATATGACCTTTCCCCCATGTGCCACTTCTGGTAATTTACATGTTTCTGCAAAGACTTATCACAGCTCACTTGTAATAAAGATTCAAGGCAAGTTTCACAGATAAATGCTGTTGATTATCAAACTTGTTCTGATAGTAACAGCAAGATGACATCATTTGTACATATAAAGCAAGGCACACATAGATGCCTGGAGTCCTGGAGGCCTCTGGCAGCCTATTTCTCTTAAATATGAGGCTTGTAGCCCTTAGACCCTGGCTTTGAAATATAAAGCAGCAGCACCAAACATGATAATGGGAAGCCAAATCACATCAGTGGGTTTAGTGGATGTCCAGTATACCTCCCTCCCCCTGCCAAACAAGAAAATTGATCATTCTTGCTTTCTGCCTCCTGAACCAGGCATGTGTACATGTTGAACACATATAGACTCTCTCTCAGTGATTTATAACCTAATACACAAATCTATGTCATAATGTGGTTACCCCTGGGATGTTTAAGACTATAACTCACAGCTTTCCTGCCCGTTATTTGTGCTGAGTGGAGCAGATGGATGCTGCATTTTAGTACACTCAGAAAAATACATTTTGGGAAACCTGCTTGATGTTTCTATATTGCACTATATTATTTTGAAGTTTTGATTCAATTTCCTTTCTTCATCTCAAGACTAAAAAGAATATGAAGATGATATGACAAAATACACATTGGAACAGAAAAATGTGCTCAGGCACATACAAGCACATAAACTATTTCTCTTGTTGAAGTTGAGTTTATAATTTAGGGTGTTTCCAGAGGGACAGGTTCTTGTGGCACCAGTCAAATGACACCGTGCAGTTATAATGCCTTTCTCTGTTTAACGGATCATCTGTAGTAACAAAGAAGTTACATGAATAATAATTAGAGTGGAAGAAGTAGTGGAAAAACATGAGTCTTCCAAACAAGACATTGTTTAGACTCCCTAAAAAATTTCATGAATAAGACAAGTTGATTGCTCTGTAAAAGACTCCTGTGAAGACAACACTATGCTACACTGTAAGAAAGAATTAATATGGAAACTGTTGGCAGCTTCCATATCAGTAGTGGGATTGGTCGCTGGTTTCTATAAGAGCTTATCACAAGTCTTTTTTAGTGAAAAGGATTCAAGACAAGTGACACAAATGCCCCCAGGAACAAAGATTGGGCTTCCTTTGAAAACATATAAAATGACGTAAAGTATAACCAGGAGATTTCTAGATTACATTTAGCAACTACATCAAAGACTAAAGCGGAAAACAATGGGACATAACAAAAGAAGGAATAAACAAAGCATACCTGTATGAGACCAACGTGTAAAATATAACTACAATACCAAATTTAGGCGACAGCAAAGAACTGACATGACCCCAAACAGCAGTCATCCTATTTCTGTTGTCATTTCCATTTTGGGGGACAAATTTATCTCTATGTTTTGATTCAACTAATGAAATAAGACAAAATTATAGAAATGCTGCCATCATGTTATAAGCCATGACAGTTTTTTCACAAACTCTATTTCCAGGATAAGCATAAATTAATTTCCTGGATAAGTGGGAAACAACTGGTTCTATTTTGCTATACGTATTTTGTTTTACAACTGGATAGTTTTACTATTAGACTATGCTTACATGATTCATGGTAGGCCAGTGCTCAATAGTATTTATTTACCTATGAAAAAGTCATCTGAGGTTCACTATGCCCAGAGAGTTAAGTTCTATGAAGTGGGGTGGTCTTTATGCTATGGCACTGAATGCTAAGAGAGTCAAAAGTTATGTGTAATTGAAAAAATGTAATTTCTACTTGTGTACTGTAACAACAGCAGTAACAACAACAAAAACTTTATTCTTGTATCCCACCACCATCTCCCTGGAGGGACTCAGGGTGGCTTACACACGGCACAAGGTGTCTAAAAACAAAACATAAAATGAAAACAATTTAAAATACAATTAATACAACATATTGGCATATAAAACATCACCTAATACTCAATTAAAAGCAATGCTCATCAGCTGATGGTGATGCAACTTCCTTATAAGAGAGTACATGAGAGAGAAAGTGATCCAGTGAGTTTTATGAATCTAGAATCCAGACTGCCCAAATTCCAGCCCTACTTGTCTAACCAGTACCCCACAATGGTTTTCATAATGAATTGTGAACTTTGCCCACCAGATCTAACTTCTATGATATACAGATCACATTTCAGGACTGAGAAGTGAATCAAGAAAAGTCCATAATCCTTGCCAGGAATCATTAAAAGTTGAAGGGAATTCAGAGTTTGCTATCTCAGGTAAACCCACTAAATAAATGATGAGAGAGAGTAAAGTTTATGTTTGGCAGATCATAAAACCAAAGCCAACAGTAATGACCCTGCAGTTACTTGAACTGGTGCAGTAAAAGATTGTGGATTGCTTATTATATGGACCAGATCAAATGTTAATAACTTACTCTAAAAGGAATATGCCCAACATGTTTTATGATTCAGTAGCACCAAGGAAGTAACAGCTGATCACAATTTTCTATAGACACAACCAGTACTTTGCACCAATATTTTACATAAATACAACAATGTATATTTTTCAATTACAGTACTAAAACGATAAACTACTGGGAAATAGAAGCTGTTCTCAAGAACATAAATACAGAACCAATGTATGTGAACGAAATAGCCATGGTACCTTTTGATAGTGAAATGATTTACAGAAGTCTGAATTGGTTATGACTCTCAGACTTTGAGGCCATTTTGACAAAAGTGGTTCTTGGAGTTTAGGAAATTAACTGCTTTGTTTGGGTTTCATCATGATGTTATTGCATATGCCACATTTCTGTTGTAAAACCATGTTTCAAAAAATTAGAGATAAAATTAGAGCAATTTCAGATAAAATTACACAAGGTACCGTATATACTAGAAAATAAGCTGAGCTTTTCGGCCCTTTTGGGTGGTTGAAAAAGTTTCCCTCAACTTATATTCAAGCCAAGCTGGGCAACGGAGCCTGGAGGCAAGGCTTCGAAACCGGCTTTCCTTCATCTCCATGGCTAGCCTTGGAGAAGGAAGACAAGCGGCAGGAGCAGTAGAGCCCCCGGGCTGAGGCTCCCATGCCACTCCTGCCGATCTTCCTCCTCTTCCTCTGAGGCTAGCCATGGAGGAAGAGGAGAAAGAGGAGGAGGACACGCGGTGGGAGCAGAAGAGCCCCCAAGCCGAGGCTTCCATGCCGCCCCCACTGCAGTGACTCAGAGAGCAATGGAAAGAATGATATGTGGCATGACAATAAGAGATAAAGTCAGCAACAAAGAGCTGGATCAAAGAACTGGGGTATGCAATGTGGTCAATGAGAATTATGTAGCAAAAAGTGCATATAGTATGAACAAAAGACAACTGATGGATATGGCAACTAATGAACTGTATACCAAGAGACTACAAGCAGTCCTTGAGCAAACCTTGTACTCAGTGGGACAAACTAATGATTAAGCTATTCAGTCAGAAATGGAAAAGAAAAGCACATGATCACATTTTTTGGCAAATGGTAAATTTGCGTGAAGCCCAAAGGAGTGGATCAATGACGAATCGAATCATATTCCATGATGGCAACATGTTACAATTACACAAAAAGATACAAATGGTTTAACGAGTTAATGTTTTTGCCACCCAACCAATCTTTGGCCCAAGAAAGATAATTGTTTAGAAAAAGGTTCGCTCCATGACCAAAAAAGTCCCAGGGGACAAAAAATATAACAAAAAATCCTCCCGCATCCTTCAAAGGATAATTTGGGACATTTTTGGTGAAAATGTTTTTGATCCTGTAGGGTTCCAGGAGTCACAAAATGAGCCCTGGGGATTGCATGGGGCCTACAGGCTGCACTTTACCCTCCAGAGCTGTATAGCCATGGTGTATATTTGACATGACATGACAGGGTCTTTGAAAATGACTCTTCTCTCTTGCCATTTTGTACCCACAGGATAACACTATCGACTTCCTAGAGTATGTAGCTGCTTTGAACCTTGTCCTAAGAGGAAAACTGGAACACAAACTGAGGTGGACATTCAAAATATATGATAAAGATGGGAATGGTTGTATAGATAAACCAGAGCTCCTAGAAATAATTGAGGTAAGTAGGAATGTATTGCCAGATACTCCCCTTGGCTTCATAGCTTCTAGCTTGGGAGCTCCCGAATAGCCTAACCCAGGGGTCCTCAAACTAAGGCCCGCGGGCCACTTCCGGCCCGGCATGGGCACTTATCTGGCCCACAGAGGAGGAGCGCCCCCCCAACACAGTGCCCCTCCCTTGGCAGGCTCACGCTATCTGTCAGGCCCGATGGGCAGCGGGAGCCAGCCAAGGGTGGCTGCTCCACATGGTCTACTCTCATGTAAAGTACCTCACGGTGCTGCTCCTCCTTGGCAGGCTCATGCTATCTGTCAGGCCCGATGGGCAGCGGGAGCCAGCCAAGGGAGGCTGCCCCGGCGCTCCATGCAGTCATGCCGGCCACATGAGCTTGGAGGTYTCTACGGACAACGCCGGCTCTTCGACTTAGAAATGCAGATGAGCACCACACCCCAGAGTCAGACACGATTGGACTTCATGTCAGAGGAAAACCTTTAACTAGGGAAATTMTGGAAGATCCAGGGTGCGAGAAAGAACTCTTGTCTTTTGGAGGTAGGTATGAATGTTTCAATTGGCCACCTTGATTACCATTTCATGGCCTGACAGTTTTTAGGGAGAATCCTTTCTTGAGAGGTGATTAGCTGTCCCTGATTGTTTCTTGTCTGGAGTTCCCCTGTGTTTGAGTGTTGTCCTTTATTTACAGTTATAATTTTAGAGTTTTTAAAAATACTGGTAGCCAGATTTTGTTCAGACTAGAAATAGGAAGATTTCCCATTCTCTGTTCCTGGAATTACTGCCTAAAGAGGACTAGAAAAAAAAAACCCTCTAAGGGCCCATCCACACAGCAAAATAAGATATGTGCAATGTACATAGGAATTTTTTWAATTGATTTTTTWAAAAAACTATAGTCCGGCTCTCCAGCGGTCTGAGGGACAGTGAACTGGCCCCCGGTTTAAAAAGTTTGAGGACCCCTGACCTAGCCTATCTTCATGACATACTGCATGGTTTCTTGAAGAAGAAGAAGAAATGTTTCAGGCTATTGGTATTAATGAGTTTTTATTTTCTTTGTCTATTGATGTCAATGCGTTTTTGTGTGTTGGAGGGGGGAGCTGAAATAAAGAACAACTGGAAGAGTGGAAACTTCCTATACCAGTGTGCAAGGATCCTGATCTACATTGTGGCTGCCTATACTTACTTGAATGCAAAAATTATAATTTAAAACTATTCTACCTGTTTAATTGAACATGCAGCTTAGTTCTAAAAGAGATACTCTTGTGATGATTGACATGCATTTTTGCTGCTTATATCCTATTCAAGTAGACATCCTCTATGACTTAAAGGAATAATCTTACAACACTAAAGAAAATAGTGCTAATGGGAATTTTATAGTGCTTGGAATGCCTTTCAAAGGCTTATGAGCGAGGGATTGTGCATGGAGGAATCAGAGCCATTTGGTTGTTATACTGCCCATTATCTAGTTAGAACAATAGAATAGATGGATTGTTGTAGGGTTTTCAGGCTATATGGCCATGTTCTAGAAGCACTCTCTCCTGACATTTCGCTTGCATCTATGGCAGGCATTACAGGAGTTGTGAGGTCTGACCTCACAACCTCTGAGGATGCCTGCCATAGATGCAGGCGAAACATCAGGAGAGAATGCTTCCAGAACATGACCATATAGCCTGAAAAACCTACAACACAGTGATTCCGGCCATGAAAGCCTTCAACAATACAATAGGATAGATGTTCAATTAACAAAATGAAACCACATGTGCGGAGTTTCTTCGCTCATTCTCACCTCCAAGAACAACGGAACTTACTGGCAAACCAGGTCTTCAGTTTAGTGAGTCATGAGCATCAAAAACAACATTCGGTGCCAACGTCTGTTCCAGATTAACCTATCCTCATCTGATTCTCAGATCTAGTTTTATAGGTCACCAGATAATTGGCCAGGTCTAGGCCATGCCATGGTTAATCCACAATCGGCTAAATTGTCAATTCAAACTGGTCTGCACGCAAAGGGTAGCTTCTGCTAAGATAAAAAGAGGACTTGGAAAAGGGCAAGAGTATCTAATTCTTAAATCAGAAAGGAGAGTGAAAAAAAGGCAACAGTGACCCAGAAACTTTTAACTGACAAAGAAACAGAATTCTCACACTATTTATTTTCAATATTTTTATCACCTTTTGATGTAAGGCTTCCCCAAGTGGCTCCACAGTGTAATGTTTTGAAAGAATATAGATATAGATATAGTTAAGCATATACAGTTTTAAAAAATGCAAAATGTTTTCTTTTTAAAAAAATGACTCGTCTCATCCATAGCAGATTCTATTTTTAATATACCTTTCTCATCCAGCTACTGCTTCTGCCATTATCATGGAAAGCCCATTATGGGGAAATGTCCAATTTGGCCTTCTGTGGCCATCAGTGTGATAAGCCATCTGTCCAAAAATATCCCAGGTTTGTTTTAATCCTGCTTAATAAGAGTTGCAAAGAGATCCAGGCACACATCCAGGGTAGATTGTTCAATAGGCTTGTGTGATCAATGAAAAAATGTTTCAATACTCATTACAAAATTAGGGGGTGGGGGAAAAATTGTTGCTAAAGTTTCCCGGGGTCTGTACCGTAACTACATTGAGTTAACTACTTTTTTGATACTTTTTGTTAAGCAATTAATTGTGCCAATGGGGAAACTTCAGGGGTACCTTTCTCCCTTAGTGTTAGAACTATTGCCGTGAAACTTGCTACAATTATAAAACACATTTACTACATTTCACTCATCCACAGATTTTTGGGGAATTTTCAATTTTTTTACAAACAACATTTTTTTAAAAAAAACTATAAAAGCTATCTCCTTGAATTTTCTATACAGTGACACAAGATGACAGGGGATCATCCCCTCCCCCCCCCCCCACAAGTTCAGAAATATTCATATATCTACTGAGCTTTGGGATTTTAAAAGAAGTTTTGACAAAAATGGGTTTTTTAAGGAAATGCCACAACTATCTCACTGAATGTCTCTCATATTAACCAATTTCTTCCTAGCCCAACACTGATTTTCTTACTTGTATTGAAGTATCAGTCAGTCCTCTTCTTTGCAGATTCAGCAATTTATTGGAACTTTGGCTGCTGCTAGGAGGAACAAATTTCTCCCGTATCCTAATTGGAGCTTTCTGATGCTGAGCAGAATCCTGGGAAATGTATTTTAGAGTTGGCCTTTTGAAGTCTCTGCCAACCCTTTCCTTCCCAAACTACATTTCCCAGAACTCTGTGCTTTCTCAGTCTGTTTTACTCAACTCGTCCTGCCCTACTGCTTTCCTCTCCTCATAGTATTCGGTGAGTTTTGAGTCTTAAGTTTTTGCATGGGCACCCTCCTATGTTTCTTAATATCTCTTTGTATATACAAAACTTATGAATTAAATATGACTTACTAAACAAAACTGAAGTTTTGCATACCCCTATTGTTCAATAACAGCAATATTAATAATTATAGGATTGATATTTTGTGTCATTTTAATAGAACAGCAATCTTAGGTGCAATATTACTCAAGAAGTAAAAGAAAATGGACACTTATTGCAGGTTTATGATTCTGGCTTTCTTGGGTACTACAAATCATGATTTAAGGAATTGTTTTGCCATTAGATGATGTGCTTTGCATCAAATGTGGAATTTTGGGGAGGTTCTTCCAGTTGTACCCTTTTTGTGAATGCATGCCAGATCTTCTGTTTTCACTTCTTACTATCAAAATTTTCATTAAGGAAGAGAAAGCAAAATAGATTTACACTGCCTTTCAGCTGGTCCTTGAAACCTATTTAAAACCTACTGTGTATACTCATGTATAAATTGGGAAAATTAAGTCCCAGAATTAACCTCCCAAAACTAGGTTGATTTCGCCAGAAGTCAGTGTAACTTAAGGTCAACCTTAACTCATATCAAAGAAAAGAATCATCTCCTTCATCCTAAATCATTCAGGTTATGGAAGAAGCTTCCTAGAATTCCCTAACTTTTGCTGCAGCCATTTTATCTGATGTATGCACTTGATGTTTACCCCTGTATCATCAACTCATTTTTGTTCTCCCACTTTCTTCCAGTCTATTTATAGGCTAAAGCAAATATGCCAGACAGAAGCAGAAAAAGGACGACCCTCACTCACTCCAGAAGAAGTTGTGGAAAGGATATTTCAGCTAGTGGATGAAAATGGAGATGGTAATGATTTTGTAATTTGGGTGATACTGATATCTAATTAGCATTTTCTTCATCTGCTTTTGGACACTGTGAGATAAGGTCAGGTTTTATACATTTTACATGAAGTTAGTCACAGTTAAGTCATTCAAAATGTCTAACATTTGAGCTTCTACATTTCCTGAATTGTCATCCAGTAACTGCTTCACAAAAAATTATGGCTCATCTATTGTTATTGCTCTTGTAATTGTTGTTGTTTGCTGAGAAGCTGATCTCAAAGACATCTCATCGACTACCTTCCTGGGACGAATCTGAGAGCCATGGCTTCCTTGATTGAATCAATGGATTTCTAGTGGGGACTCTCACTTTTCCTAATGCCTTCCATTTTAACAAATACTGTCTTTTCCAGTGAGTCATATCATGGCTACCTAGAATGTATTTGAGGGTGGTGAAATATTTCCAATTCTAACCCAATTAAACAATGCTTCAGAAAGCAAAAGCTAAGCTTTCCTGGTGATTTTAATTCACTCAGCATTCATAGACCCACTTGATAAAAAATCAAATGACTGAACATTTTGATACTTACTTTGAAGCAAAAACTAAGCTTTCCTGGTGATTTTAATTCACTCAGCATTCATAGACCCACTTGATAAAAAATCAAATGACTCTGAACATTTTGATACTTACTTTGAAGCAAAAAATGGATGCAAAGGTCATAGTCTATTATCATAGTGGTATCTGACTTTACATAGTCTGGAAGTCACATTATTTTTTGTTGTTGCTACTGCTGCTATACAACATGTGTATAAGCTGAATGCGAAATCCATGTAGATTCTTTTCCAATTGTTCCAGAAATCCCAAATCCCTATGTTAAATAACAAGGAATTTTGGCAACATACAGTGATAAAAGAGCATGAGGCTGCAAAAGGTGTCAATAGAGCAGTGGTTCTCAACTTGTGGGTCCCAGATGTTTTGGCCTTCAACTCCCAGAAATCCTAACAGCTGGTAAACTGGCTGGGATTTCAGGGAGTTGTAGGCCAAAATACCTGGGGACCCTCAGGTTGAGAACCACTGCTATAGAGCAAGTAGGATTTATTTATTTACTTTATTTATTTATTTACTTTATTTATATACTGCTTTCCTCAGCCCTCAGGCGATTTGAGGAAGTGCTTTTCTGTCTTTGACACACTGTGACTTCTTCTTTCTTACATTAATTATTTAGGGCAGTTATCTTTAGATGAATTCATTGACGGAGCACGGAAAGACAGGTGGGTGATGAAGATGCTACAGATGGATGGGAATGCAGGAGTATGGATCACTGAGCAAAGGAGGAAAAGTGCACTGTTCTAACTATTGTGCATTGGACTGGAAAAGATTAAAAGGGATTGAGCGCTTCCTTTCATCCAAGAATCATCTGAGTAACCAAGGGAATTCTTCACACAACTTTGTGAAACCAAGTGTCAGCATCCTGAACATGCATACGAAAAGTAATATGAAGCAATAACATTCAAAGACCTCCACTTAAAACCAGCCATGCTAGGAAGTAATCATATGAATTTATAACCATCCTGTTTGTTGAAGCAGACTTGCATCTATGTTATAAGAAACTGACCTGCAAGTGTCTTGAAGTAAAAGCCAAATGTTGTTTGATGCTGAGAAGACACAAGGTGACTGACTAGTGAAACACCATGCATTATCTGTGGACTGTTTTGGTTTTTTTATGCCTGGCCGAAGAGGTGATCTAGGTGCAACAAAGGAAATGATGACTCTGTAATATACTTTGAAGATAATGGCTAATCTATTCTGATAACAAGTCTGTGTCTTTCCAAGGGTTTTATTTGCTGAGTAACCACAATAACTGTTGCACAAAACTATTTGGACAAAGTTAGAATGTCTTTGTAACATTCCAGACTAACAATCAAACATGTGTAGCATTGGAAACAGAGACAATTAGTCTTTATAGAGCATGGAACAAATCTGTAAGAACCAAGCAAACAAGATACATAATTCCATTGATCCTGAATGTCCATTGTTTTCTACTTTGTTACCTTTGGGCAGATTTCTCCAGGTGATGGATCTATTTTGGAACTATTCTGGAGATGTTTTGGGGCATTTGGCTCAGTTAAAATTATATACTGTCGTTCGTGAGATCAGAAGCACATTCCTTCCTTAGTCTTTTATCTGTTTCTCTTCCACCATCTCTAGTACCAATTCTTGCAGACTAACCAGGACTACTTCCAAACAATGGTTTGCCAGCCTACAACAATAATTTAGAGTCAACAATTAACCATAAATGGCATGTCATGGCAAACAATGGGAATCAGAGCTAGAAAACAAAGGAGAGATCCAGAATCTGGAATTAAAGATAGAATGGGAGAAAAGTATCAGACTTCTTTGCATGCTTCCCATATTTCATATCCTAGTTTAGAAGTCATGTGTCCTGAATGAGAAAATAATAAGAGAGCAAGGTTTTAATGGAGGAAAGGCCACATTTATGAAATCATAAGTGTTAGGCCTGTCATTTTTAAATAAAAAGCACATATAGTCTAATACTCTAGTTGCATGTTACCGATATTCTATTAGGCAGTTTATAGATATGACCATTAGGATATACAATAAGCACCTATATAATGGATTTACTGAAACCACACAAGGAAGAACTCATTTATCTTAGTGGCCTGAGATTCATTCAGATTACTAAGGCCCCAGGGCCAGCATCATATTTATCAAGGACTTCAGTATCTTCTTCCTTCTTCTGGTAAGTGGGCTCTTGGCTTCCTCTTATCTTCATAGTGGCAACAGAAGCCACAAAAATACAAAATAATGAAAAACATAGAGAAAACAAAGGAACCACAAGCTATCAAACAAGCATTCCTCTTGGTGCCCCCAACTTAATTCAGCCAGAATGCCTCCAAGTTTCTGCAGAGCCATTTTCTCTGCTCGGTCACACTCTTTGAGGTATTGTGGGATTTAAAATAACAGGTGACACTTTCTGCCACCCGGGATTCATTGTTAAGATGCTGTAGCCAATAATTTAAGCCACAATGATGCCTACTGAAGGCTTCAACTATTGGCCATTGCCTAGTGGTGTATATATCTAAATCTGGGCTTTGTACAGGTTAATTCTCAATACTGAAATAGTTTAATTGCCTCTAGACTATATCACTTCACACAGTAAGGGGAAGACCCACATGTTGTATTACATGTTGTATTGTCATGTCATTGTACTTTAGTGAAGAGAATGCTGGATTAAGACTTGGAAGTGAACAGTTCAAGTGAACAGTGAACCTAAAAGCTGCCTGGTTGACTTTGGGCCTGTCACTATCCTTTCACCTGATTTTTCTGAAAGGGTTGTGGAGATCAATTGGATAGAGACCCATGTATGTTGCCTTGTGCTCATAGAAGGAAAGATGGACTGTAAGTGTAGTGAATAAGAATAGATATAGGTACATATGTCAGGAAGCAAGCTAGTGTAGCATTCATTTATCTGGAGTGCTGGGTTTCAATGTGCAGATTTTTATTTTTATATGCAGACATATATTAAGTCCTATAACTCTTCACTTGCTTCTGAAGTGGGACTGTCCAAACTTTATTTTTGTGGTTACTAGTCCTGTGAAATCCAGACAAATAGATTTTAATTGATATATTCCCATGTTGACATGATCTAACATAGGTCACACAAACTTTGTGCCTGCGTCTCCATGTGCTTGAGTCTAGTGTGTTTGGTAATTTTTTTTCTTGGTCCACCATCCCAGAATGCTTCAGCAAGTATTATGTTGAAGCTACACTCTAAAAAGAAATCTATCCCAGATTTAGTCACAAAATGTGTACTTTGTATATGGTATATTGTTTAGAAATAAAAAATAGTATAGCATGGAATGATTTGGTCTGAACAAATAAAAAAGACTGGCCAAAGCCTGTCATTGCACATCCAATGCTTGGTTGCACAGTCCGTTTGCAATGTGGCATATCTAACTAGAGCTTGGAAGTAACAAGTTACAAGTACATAAATGTGTGTGGGGGAGGGGGGGAGTGTAAGGAGCATATAATGGAATCACACTTCAAAAGTAACCAAATTAAAATAATATTATTTTATAATTCTGGCTTCTAGTTACTTTCAATAGTCACTGACAACACTTTTAGGAGTAATGTGCCATTTAATCTGATTTTTTACGTTTTAAGATTCCTTCCCCCCTTAAAAAAAGTAATTAAGGAGCAATAGCTGGAATAATAAATGATATAAATAAATAAATTTCTTCACCACTGTAGCAAGTAATGGCAACTTTTAAAATATTGCAATTAGAGTTGTGCACAGAATTCATTTCTCCCATTTTCTTTGTTTCTTTCATTTCTTTTGGTAATTTGGAAGCATGTAATGGGAACCCCCCCCCCCTCCCTGTATGAAAATCAGGTGCCACGAAAGCAAGTGGGAGCTGATCCCAGCTCCAAGCCTGCTTTTCATCATCACAGTTTAACCTTTTTTTTTTTTTTTTTTACTAATCCCCCAGCAAATAAAAAGTAAACCCTCATTCCCTGAAAACTACTCTCCTCTTCCAGGAAGTCATTGCTCTTCCTTACCTGTAAGTGGGAAGCCTCCTTAAAATGCCTTGGAATGGAAAGAGTGCATGGCTGGCTGGTGTGGTGTAGCCCCAGGAGCGAAAGTGCACATGTCTGCAGCTGAACGCCTCCCAGAATTTGCCTCCTTGTCTTGGAAAGAGAGTCTGCATGTGCCCAGAAAGCATGCACCTGCATGGAGGCCCTGGAAGTGCATGCCTGCCAGTGCCTGCAGCCGAGCGCCTCCTCTAGAGTAAGAAGCAGGCTTTGCCTCCTTGCCTTGGAAAGAGAATGCATATGTGGTGGGCAGACCCAGAAAGTGTACATGTCTGCCAGTGCCTGCAGCCAAGCACCTCCTCTCGAGTAGAAAGAAACAGCAAATGAGAAGATGCCTCCTTAAAGCGCACAGGAAAGGGGAGCCTGGGAAGCCCCCCCCCCCAATGGGTCAATAGAAAATGGATCTTTTGGCACCCCAGAGCAAAAAGAGATATCTGCCCTCCTGATTTTGGGAGGCTCCCAAAAAACAGATTGGGATCTCCACCGAAAGCTGGGACACCAAACAGGTAAGGGTTTACCCCGAATGCACAACCCTAATTGCAATGTTTTGGAAAGTACATTTCCAAAGCTCTGCAGCTACCATGCATGAGTTATGCACAAGCTATTTTTGGTTTTTTTAGACCAATAGATTAAAGATCTCCATGTCAGGTTGCACTAACATGTATTTTCTTTGGTCTTTTATTATAAACCTTTTGTACTGTTCAAGTCTTGTGTTCAATTGTTTGCTTTCTTAAATCTAGGAACATAAAATGAATTGCAATAAAATGTTTTTAATAATACAGAACAGGTGTGAACTTCTGGTTACCTACTTTTACAGGTGTGAACTTCTAGTTACCTACTTTGTGATGTGCTATAGCTTCCAACTTTGATTGTGGTACAGTGTGACATCATCTGCAAATTCTCCTCTTTAATTTATTTATTGTCAAGGGGGGGGACTAATTTGGGGGCCCTCCAGAAATGGCAGATAGTACCTCTTTCCCAAACGTAAGTAACACATTTTTTTTTATTTCGTGGATATTGTACTTAGTGAAAACATCCTCAAAGCTTGTTTACATATGGACAACTTGCAGGGTATTGTGCTCCTGTCACCTTATATGCACCTCATAGACAATGAATAAATAAATATCTATTCTTCTATAGCAACTATAAGGTGTAGAAACAGGCCAAGTCAGTCATCATCTGCTCCCCATTCCTTTAGATGTGGAAAATATAACTGGAATCAATGTGGCTGCTCTGAAGACTCTTCTCTGGGATGTAGGTAGAAGAAAATCCAAACAAGGAAACAGCTAGCTTCCAAGGAAATGAACATCCTGAGGTTACAATTCCTTTTGTGTCAACAACCCTGAACTCTGAATGTTGAAATAAAGTCAAAGAAATGTGATCTACACATAAAAGGGGTACAGAAGACATTTTATGGGAGATCCTTTACTGCAAATGATGTACAGAATTCATACAACATTAGATTTGCTCTGAGTTGCTTCATAAATACAATCACCAACATATGGAAAACCGAATGGTCAAAACGAAAGTGTGGCAGGACACCAAAATATTTAAAATAACAGGTGTGGATAAATAATGCATTCTGGGTGCCTTCAAAAAGTTGAGAAAAGGATGTGACAATTGCATACACATTGCACTGATAAAGTATTACTATCTCCTTTCACAGCATAAATTTAGGGCATCGTCATACCATGGATAGACATTGTTGCTTTCAATGTGTTGTTGTGCTGCAGGGTCTGTGAAAATGTATGAAAATAATCTGTTAGTAATCCCCTTTTCCTATAACAATTCAATAACCAAGTTGGGTTGTTTTTTTTTTTTTTTGTTGTATAACAATTCAATAGTCTAAGTTGTTTGTTTTTTTTTTGTCGTGTCAGGAGCGACTTTAGAAACTGCAAGTCGCTTCTGGTGTGAGAGAATTGGACAGTCTGCAAGGACATTGCCCAGGGGACGCCCTTGTTTTGATGTTTTACCATCCTTGTGGGAGGCTTCTTTCATGTCTCTGCATGGGAGCTGGAGCTGATAGAGGGAGCTCATCTGCGCTCTCCCCGGATTCGAACCTGCGACTTGTCGGTCTTCAGTCCTGCCGGCACAGGGGTTTAACCCACTGTGCCACCAGGGGCTCCACACCAAAAAAAAATACAAGTTCGTTAGGAGTTTCTATACCTGGCATTGCCCAGGTGTTGGAGGGGCTACTTCCTCCCCTGGTGCCATCCTTTCTCTTTCTCTTCTTCCCTCGTCTCATACCTTTCCTTTCTCTCTCTCCCTTCCTTCCCTCCTTTTTCTTTCTTCCTCCATTCAGCTAATATAAATGTTAGCTTTCTTTCCCAGTGACATCCCAGAGGGCCACTTGACCTACCAACAGCCAAACTCTTCACCTACCAACAGCTAACCCAGTGACATTACAGAGAAGCACAAGTCTGTGTGGTACATACATACATACATACATACATACATACCTTTACTTTTATATACATATATGTTCTTGAAGTATGCAGATGCTGTCATTTCCCTCTGGGTGGTCCTGTTTAGTTGGCATAATATAAAATCACACATTTTGCTCTTTTTGGGTCTAGTCAAAGAAAGAATGTGTTTTTCATGACTGCAGGGATATACAGTCATGTCAAAGTGTGCTTTTTTTCAGCAGGAATCGGGTTATAAGTGCACCTTTTTAATATGTGCTTTCTTCCTGTTAACCTGATCTCTCCTGCACTTTGGCTCAATGTAATTTAGCCACACACTCATTTAAACCCGGTTACTTCTGAGTTTTACAGCATGTGTAGAATGGCTCTGAGTGGTTGAGTTCATTTCTTTTTTGGTCTTGACCTATTTTTTTCAGATTGTAATCATGCTGTTATATACCCATAAAAATACACATTTAATTCATAAAGTGATTTTGGGCTTGTTTTATTTTAAACATTTTAGCAGCTTTCACCCAAATGTTACAGTAGTGTTTCTACAATACTTGAGATATAGCCTTCTTTATAAGATCACCACAGGCAGTCCCCAAGTTATAAACATCAGACTTACAAATGACTCATAGTTAAGAACAGTGCTGAGACAACAGAAAGTGGGAGAAATCTATTTCTTGGAGGGGAAATTCACTCCTGAAAGAGTTATCATGGAGGAAAGGAAGCTCAACTGAAACTTTATCACCAATCCCTGTTTCCACAGCAAACCAAAATTTTCAAAATCAAAAACAAACACCACTCTTCCCTATGTGGTACAAAGTATGTGTATATATACATGTTCCAACTTACAAAGAAATTCAGCTTAATAACAAGCCTACAGAACCTATCTTGTTTGTAACTTGGGGACTTTATATGATTTGGCTATTGTAGAATTTAGCTAATATTTACTCCAACAATTGGTCATGCCTTAGGCCGCACGGACCCTTCATGGCTCTTGTATAGTCACAAATAATTTGTAAATATTTTTCTATAACCATCTTGCACTAAAACAATCTTTACTTCTGTGTAAACAATCTACCCCAAACCAGCACATGACTGAGAATACAATAGCACTATGAAGTTCATCACCTGTGTCTTTGCAAGCATCCTAGGATGCTTGTAGCACAGTTGATCCACAAAGCCCAGTACCACCCATCACATGATGTACACTTATTTCTGGCAAGGCTCCATCAATTAACTGTGGCTCAAGCATCCTACAATGCTTTGCCCAGAGGACGGAGGCTTCCTGTGTTACTGTAGGAAACAACTGGGCCAACGTGGAGGATGCCATGTGATGGGGAAGCATGACTGTAGGCGAAGCAGAACATGGGATTACCCTGCTGCCCCATGGATTCACCATGGAGGCTGGCAAATCTCCCCACTGCCACTCATCAATGTGATGAGGTCCTTACTTTTGGCCTTCTCTGTCAAAAAGTGCTGTTGTCTCACCCATAGGATTGAGCCATGGCTTTTAAGGTGGTATCAAACTGCATTAATTTGATAGTGTAGATGCACCTTATGCTAATCATTTTCCATATTACTATATGTTTCAGCTCTGATAGGCCATAGGCAGGCAGTATAGTTTTTAAAGAGCTGAAGGGCAGTATTGGGGGGAGGGGAAAGATTATGAGTTTTAAATGATATTTTAAGTGTTTTTATTATACTTTAATTCTTTTTTTACCTTAATCCACACTGTATAATGTAATTGGTTTTTAAAACAATGTATTTCACTTTTTGAACTAAGGCCAAAGTGTAGTATTGTTAGCTACCTTGAGTCCCCATGAGAATAAGGTGGGATATAAATAATAATAATAATAA